TCTCTCTCTCTCTCTCTCTCTCTCTCTCTCTCTCTCTCTCTCTCTCTCTCCCTCGCTCGCTCGCTCTCTCCCTCCCTCCCACACGACTTCAATTTTTTTTCCGTTCGTTTTTGTTCTTTTTTAATTTTTGTGTGTTTGATTTTTTCTTTTCCTTTCTTTCTTGGTTTCCTTTGTAGTGTCGTCCCTACAGAACCGGGGCCCGGCCTTCAGGCAGCGACCGGGCCTTCCCTTGGCGGACCCCCGAAGCCGTCGGCGCGTTAACGGGAAAGGCCCGCGGCCGATAGCTGGGCCAAGTACTGGTGGTTTAAGAAGTTAAGAGTTAGGGTGCTAAGGAGCCAGTGGGGCTAGAGTTGCAGTGCCGCTCCCCTATCTTTGCAGTGACAAATGCCATTTTGCAGTAATGACGCTAGTGAGTGGATGTTGGACTCAGGTAGCAATCCCATTGCACATCAGATTCTGTATAGCTGAATCGGTGGTTATCACCTTGACCTCTGTGGAGTTGTATCATGGATGACCCCTTTACAATGGAGCATGGAGTCTGCCTTGCATAGCATGTTGCATCATGGCATCGTATCCAGATATTCAAAGACCGGTGATGCCGGTCAAAATAAATGCAAATAAGTATTTAATATTTTCAATTATTTTGAGTTTTTTTTTTTTTTTTTTTTTTAAAGAAACGGGAAAAAAATTGACCATTTCTCGATTTATGCTTGTCATTCTTGCACAGGGGCCATGCTAATCTTCTCTGTATCGTTCCAATTTTAACGGATGTCCTAAAGGACAAGATATTTTGAGAACTTATGTTTTTATAAAAAGAACATAGAGTGGTACACTGGCCTCAGGGGTATGTTGTGCAAGATTGCATTTCAAACAACTTTTATCTGAGGTTCAACTCAATATTCTTGACCAAATTGTTGGTATGATTTGGGGAAGAAGAAAACTTGCTCACACCCCTTCGTCTTGGCAGCAGTGTACATCTGGTCTTGCCTTGTGTACGAGACTACGAGTGGCCTATAGCCATGCTTATGAATACTTGATGATTGAATGATATTTCAGAATTATTTCTGTATAGCCGGCAAAGGGGGCTGTACCGTGGTTCACTGGAACTCTCACTGACTTGTAAGAGATGTGCATGTGTGTGTGCATGTGTGTGTGTGTGTGCGTGTGTGTGTGTGTGTGTGTGTGTGTGTGTGTGTGTGTGTGTGTGTGTGTGTG